TTTTAAACAGAAATATAATGTCAATTAAGAGTTCAAACATAGGCAACACGTAAATAAAACTATTTAAAGACAAATGCATTTTAAAGTAAGCAATTCTTGTTCTTTCTAAGTACTCCCTCCGTTCCTTCGTTCACTTTACTTGACATGTATACTAAAAATAGATTTTCATTTTTACTTGTTACTTTACGCATATTAAGAGAAGACACATTTTTCCACTGTTATACCCACAGTATTTATTACTCATTTCAAATTATTTTCTCAAATCCAATAAAATATGCATCAATTAATATGTGTATCATGGTAAATTATCCACTTCATTTATTATTTCTTAAAAGACGTGAAAAGTCAAAACATGCTAAGTAAAAGTGAACGGAGGGAGTAAGTAATTCATGTGTAACAATCTCTTCATTATGATTTTTTCTTTCCTGTGAATGATAATCTCTTAATTATTAACTACTACAAGATTACAAATCGTTGATTATTAATCATCATATAAACAATCTATATATTTAATCCCTTTATAATTAACCAGACAATCCCTTAGTCAAAGTCAACCAACTAACAATGGGCTGAACAAGAAAAGAACACAGTATTTGAATTTTAGTTATCAAAAAGTCTAATATAATCAAAGTTGACAAATTAGTGTTCACATTGACCCCCCACAAACCTTATACCAATCTACAACAAACCATCTTCTCAAATTCTTGAAAAAACTCTGCTACATGTAAATTCCCAGCACCCTTAGAAGCTAATTTCTTCACTAGAAAATCACAAAAATGTCCAAAAAAATAATAATCTCAACTCCCAAAATCCTTTTTTCCATTTTCACCTTTCTATTTTACACATTCAATGCAAATTCTCAACCAAATTCCAATCAAGAAAATACCATTTTACTCAAATTAAAACAACATTGGTCTACTTCTCCTAATATCACAAGCTGGAACTCATCTTCAAATCATTGTTCTTGGCCTGGAATAATTTGTAACAATAATTCAGTTACAGGAATTCAGATTTATTTTGGACAAATTTCTGAACCAATCCCATCATTCATTTGTGATCTTAAAAATCTCACCTTTCTTGATTTGAACCACAACTTAATTCCTGGACCTTTTCCTACTATACTTTACAACTGTTCAAATCTTGAATTTTTAGACCTTTCTTTTAACATGATGAATGGTACATTACCTGATGATATTAATCGTCTTTCGGCTAATCTTCAAGTCCTTAACTTGACTTCAAACAACTTCACTGGTGATATCCCTTCAACAATTGGTGACTTAAGTGATCAGCTTAAAGAACTCGTGCTCGCCGCGAATTTGTTTGGTGGTACTTTCCCTACAGAAATAGGTAACTTGTTAGATCTTGAATCTTTAGTGTTAAGTCAAAATGGTTTTGCTCCACAAGAAATACCATCAAGTTTTACTCAGTTAAAAAAGCTGAGGAATTTTTTGATGACAGAAGCAAATTTAGTTGGAGAAATACCTGAAAATATTGGTAATATGACAAGTCTTGAACTTTTAGACTTGTCTTTAAATGGCTTAAGTGGTAATATTCCTAGTGGTTTATTTCAGATCAAGAATTTGACCATAGTTTACCTTTACAACAACAGATTATCAGGTGAAATTCCTCGGTCAATTATGTCATTGAATTTAGATGTTATTGATCTGTGTAATAACAGCTTGACTGGAAAAATACCTGAAGATTTTGGAAAGTTGACAAAGTTGACTGGTTTGTCTTTGTTTTACAACCAATTATCAGGAGAAATACCTTTGAGCATAGGCAAATTACCATCATTGATAGTTTTTAAGTTGTTTGGCAACAAATTATCAGGTGAAATTCCGCCTGATTTTGGTCGATTTTCGAAGCTTGAAGATTTCCAGGTTTCACAAAACCAGCTTGTTGGTAATATACCTAAGGATATATGTAACAACAAGGTGTTGTCAAAAATGATTGTTTTTGAGAACAATCTTACTGGTGTACTACCTGATTCACTTGGAAATTGTGACAGTTTGAAGTCCGTTCGCGTTGAGAATAACCATCTTTCTGGTGAGATTCCTGATGGATTATGGACAGCTGAGAAACTGTCAACTTTTATGATCAATGATAATTTGTTCAGTGGTCAACTTCCAGATAAACTGGGATCAAATTTATCCAGAGTTGATATCAGAAACAACAAGTTTTCGGGCGAGTTACCAACTGGAATAGGTAGTTGGTACAGTTTAATTGTATTCAGGGCAAGTAATAATCTCTTAATTGGTGAAATCCCTCAGGAATTGACTGTTTTACCAGAATTAACTGAACTTTTATTGGATGGTAATTTACTTTCTGGTAATTTTCCATCTAATATTACCTCATGGAAATCACTTGTTACTTTAAGTTGTAGCAAGAATCAGATATCAGGTCAAATCCCATCTGCACTTGGCCTATTACCAAAACTCAGTGTTTTGGACTTGTCAAGTAATCAGTTTTCAGGTGAAATTCCAACTGAATTAGGTAAGTTGATTCTGACTTCACTTAACCTCTCTTCAAACCGCCTATCGGGTAAAATCCCAGCTCAGTTAGAGAATGCAGCTTTCGATAAGAGCTTCTTGAATAATACTGGACTTTGTGCGAGTAATCCATTAGTTGGACTTAGTTCTTGTAAAGGGAAAAAGCAGTCGGACAAGTTTCCAGCTAAACTTGTTGCTGTTCTTGGTAGTGTAGCAGCAGTTGCTTTTCTGGTGGCGGTTTTGTATAGTGTTTTTGTGTTAAGAAGTCACAGAAAAAGAAAGCAAGAATTGGTCTCGACGTGGAAGCAGACATCATTTCATAAGTTGGACTTCACAGAATCAGACATTTTATCTTATCTGACTGATAACAACGCGATAGGAAGTGGAGGATCAGGACAGGTTTACCTCGTGCCCTTAAGCCGATCAGGAAACTGTGTTGCTGTTAAGAGGATTTGGAGCAGCAACCAAAGGTTGGATCAGAAACTTGAGAAAGAGTTTCTAGCAGAAGTTCAGATATTAGGCACGATTCGACATTCCAATATAGTAAAACTTCTTTGTTGCATTTCAAGCGAAGAGTCAAAGCTTCTTGTGTATGAATATATGGAGAATAGGAGTTTGGATATATGGCTTCATTCAAAGAAGAGGTTGAACAATGTCTCAGGTTCAGCACCACATCTGGTGTTGGAATGGCCTAAGAGGCTGCAAATTGCGATAGGAGCTGCTCGCGGTCTTTGCTACATGCACCATGATTGCTCGCCACCTATTATTCATCGCGATGTGAAGTCAAGCAACATCTTATTGGATAGTGAATTCAATGCAAAAATTGCAGATTTTGGCCTAGCCAGGATATTACTCAAGCCTGGAGATAACACAGTGACAACAGTAGCTGGCTCTTTTGGGTATATTGCTCCAGGTATAGAACTATTAACTTATATAGCATCATTAACTTTAAGAGTTAAAAAGTTAGCTTGATCTATTACATGGCTGATTTTCCCTTCCTCCAAAACAAAATTCAAAACCACATAAACTTTTTGGATGATTTTAATATATTTGGGAAGGGGAGCCTTGGCGTAATTGGCAAAGTTGTTGCCATGTGACCAAGAGGTTACGAGTTTGAGCGTGGAAACAACCTCTCGCAGAAATGCAGGATAAGGCTGCATACAATAGTATAATAGACCCTTGTGGTCCGGCCTTTTACCGGATCTCGTGTATAGCGGGATCTTAATACATCGGGCTTACACTGAATTGTGTGACGATCCCATCTAGAAACTTAAGTTATTAGAGATAACACATTATTATTTACTTAATTATGTCTCGATGTAGGCTCTCACGTCTGAACCTGATTCTTTTATTATGGACCAAACACATGAAATTTTTTGTTGATAATGAATGATGGTGAAATTTAAACTTAGGGCTTTTGCCTACTCTAATTACCGTATTGAGTTGTATGACCATCTCATCTGAAAACTTGCTAAAATTTGAACTCAGTGCCTCAAGCATGCTTTGATACCATGTCAACTTGTGTGACCATCTGATCTAAAAGCTTAAGCTATTAGAAATAACACTTTATTTACTTAGTTATGTCTTAATAGTCGACATTTTCATGTTGGTGTTTCAGAGTATGCGCGAAAAACTAGAGTGACTGAGAAGGTTGATGTGTATAGCTTCGGAGTCATCCTTTTAGAACTAGTGACCAGAAAAGAAGCCAATTTTGGAGACGAAGATTCATGTCTTGCAGACTGGGCATGGCGCCAACTACAAAAAGGACACCCTATAGTCGACGTCTTGGATGAAAACATCAAAAAATCGCGATACTTGGATGAAATCTGCACTGTGTTTAAGCTTGGAATCTTTTGCACAAGCACATTTCCTTCATCAAGGCCAACAATGAAGGAAGTTTTGCAAATCTTGCTCCAATGTAACAACAATTCACCTACATCTGGTGAAAAGAAAGATGAAACAGAACATGATGTTTCACCACTACTCAAGAACTCCAGGAGTGAAAGGATTGCAGAAAATGATGATGTTGGTTTTACATCACTTATTTGATGGCATTGGAATATATGATAGGGTGAGAATAGCAAAGAATAAAAGGGCAGACCAGTGCACTAAGCTTTCGCTATGCATGAGGTCCGAGAAAGGGCCGGATCACAAGGGTCTATTGTATGAAGGGTCTATTGTATAGAGCCTTAACCTGCATTTCTACCAGGATCACATGACAGTAACTTTACCAGTTACGCCAAGACTCCCCTTTAAAATAGCAAAGAATAAGACCAAAGAAAATGTATTAGATAGTGAAAAACTAGGATTGTACATATTGTATTAGATCCATACTGTTGCTAGGCATTGTTTTGCTACAGAAAATTTCCTTTTTCAATGTTTTCTTTTCTCACTAATAACTGACAAAAAGGAATATTAAAGTCCTAGACTAATTGAAAGGAGGATAGCCTTCCTAACAAATCAAAAAAAAAAAAAAAAAAAAAAAAAAAAAAAAAAAAAAAAACACCAAGATTGAACTACCTCACTACTATAACTTATTGGCAACAGAGAATCTTGTAAAGATTACAAAAAATGTGGCAACTAAACAACAACAACAAACTACCTCACTACTAAAACTTATTGGCAACAGAGAATCTTGTAAAGATTACAAAAAATGTGGCAACTAAACAACAACAACAAACTACCTCACTACTAAAACTTATTGGCAACAGAGAATCTTGTAAAGATTACAAAAAATGTGGCAACTAAACAACAACAACAAACTACCTCACTACTAAAACTTATTGGCAACAGAGAATCTTGTAAAGATTACAAAAAATGTGGCAACTAAACAACAACAACAAACTACCTCACTACTAAAACTTATTGGCAACAGAGAATCTTGTAAAGATTACAAAAAATGTGGCAACTAAACAACAACAACAAACTACCTCACTACTAAAACTTATTGGCAACAGAGAATCTTGTAAAGATTACAAAAAATGTGGCAACTAAACAACAACAACAAACTACCTCACTACTAAAACTTATTGGCAACAGAGAATCTTGTAAAGATTACAAAAAATGTGGCAACTAAACAACAACAACAAACTACCTCACTACTAAAACTTATTGGCAACAGAGAATCTTGTAAAGATTACAAAAAATGTGGCAACTAAACAACAACAACAAACTACCTCACTACTAAAACTTATTGGCAACAGAGAATCTTGTAAAGATTACAAAAAATGTGGCAACTAAACAACAACAACAAACTACCTCACTACTAAAACTTATTGGCAACAGAGAATCTTGTAAAGATTACAAAAAATGTGGCAACTAAACAACAACAACAAACTACCTCACTACTAAAACTTATTGGCAACAGAGAATCTTGTAAAGATTACAAAAAATGTGGCAACTAAACAACAACAACAACAACTATTCCTCAATCTCGAACATGTTGGGGTCGACGATATGAATCTCACTTTTTCATTAAGCTCAACTCATATCATTATCATTACCAAAATGTATGGGACCAAAGAAGAGGGTTCTCTTTTACGAGGTATGGGGCGATAATAAATGTAGAAACCATCTAAGGCTTTTTCTATCACTCTGACCATGATCAAGATTCCTTGAGTCCGAGGTACTGGGAATGAGAAGCAGCCAATAGTGCAGCTCCAACACCAGAACCATCATTCGAAAGCTTAACGACTATGTTTTCTGCGGCGTCTCCCAACAACTCTTTAATAGTTCCCTCCATGCAATTTCTGAACTTTGTGTAATGCTCAAACAATGCACCGTCAACAGCTATTACTGACCTCTGCTTCTCTCCATCCTTCAAAGTGTCTCTTCCCAATTTCTTGAGGATACCCACGATTCCTGCTGCAGAAAGACGAGCTCCACGAGAGGTAATAATGTCACATAGCTCAACAATTATTTTCCTCATTTTCCAGGTAGAATTAGGTACCTGTGACAAAAATATATATAGCAAATAGGATGAGTAATATGTCGTTCTCCACTTAAGCTTAGCCAGCTTTAGGAGTATTTCGTGGTTTAACTCATATAAAAGCCGAAATAGATGACAAACTTCAAAAAGTGATAATGTTTCACTTTAGTCGAATGTTTGATATTAATAAACACAGGACTCCATTTACCTCTAAGATATCCTTCAGCTTGTCGCCAACCACCTTGAGATCAGCAGACTTGTCGTGATGCATAGCAGACATGTCCTGAGTCCTGCATGCATGGTGGTAAATAACCTTTTTCGCAAGATTTAATGCTTCAAAGCTTACATATGCTGAATAATTATATGTAAATCTAGTCCAATTAGAAGCATAACTTACAATATAAGAGATTAGTGTAATGATGTTAACTTTATATATTTTTCAGATTTTCCCCTTCTCATCATGTCTCCTATCTGCTGTTTTTGTGTTGTGGAATTTTTTTTTGGTTGCAGCAGCCAAAAACTAGATCGCTTCAAGAGCAACCACAATAAATGTCAATTAAAGCAATATCCTACCTTAAAATGAATGGAGTTTTCAGTTTTGGTGGGACATAATCATCAAAAAATGAAGCTTCTTCAGCCATTCTACACAAGACTCTGCGCAAAATTTCTCCAAGATACATCCCGGAAATCATCTTCTCATAAATCTGCTCAGTTGCCAATAGTTCAAAATCAGATGTAAGATAGAAAAATGTAGAAAATGGAAGGGGGTTGTTTTTGTTACCTGCTCCCCTGGGTTTAAACTCTCAGCGTCAAGACTTTGGTCGTATTCTGTTACCGGAAGATGTGATGAGCGGAAATTACCCCATTCCATGTTAATAACCTTCAAATACCAAACAAAATTACGTTAAAGTTACAAACATGCGATTCATGCTTAGTTTGATAACAACCATAAGGTTTCCGACACCAAGGAAAATATTTTTGAAGGAATGAATTAGGCATATATCAAGTCACAAACGCATTATGAAATGTCACAAGCATCTACCATATCTCCTGATTTAGGCAGCAGACCATGCCATTTGGGAATCGTATTTGCCCGCTCAACATATGCTGCATTGGTTCCAGTACCCAATATTACTGCAGCAATGACATCAGGGTTGTTATACCGACCTCCTGCTAATGTTCCAACAGTATCATTGATCTAAACACCCAAGAATTACATAAGATTAATAATCAGAAATGTCAGACATACAAAAAACATAATACACGAACATCATCAGCACACTTCTTCTTTATAGAAATTCACACAGAATTTAATCGGGAGCAAAACTTACCAAAGCAGCCACGCGCACGTCAAGACCGACCCTTTCCATTGCTTTTGTTAACTCTCTAACAACATCTTGGCCAACCTATGTTAGATTTCATCAGGAGTAGTTCAACAACAACAACAACAAAAAACCCAGTTTGATCCCAATATGTGGGGTCTGGGGAGGGTAGTCTGTACGCAGACCTTACCCCTACCTAATGCAGGTAGAGATCAGGAGTAGTTCAGCACTGAAATAAAATATAGTTCGGAAAGGAAATTTGCTAACGTACTTTTAAATCAAGTCGGTGAAAACGCAATCAAATAATCAATCAACTACACCTTAACTCCAAATTACTTTGTATGTATAAAGTCGTATGTGTTAAATCCCAATCAATGCAAAAACCTACATTAAAATGACACTAAATCTAGGTTCACTGTTGGCATGATCGATTGGCTGTGAAAATCAGAGAATCGAATGACTAACCGCATCATCTATAGAGAAGCCCTTTGTCCATTTAATAAGAGTTCCTGATGCAATTGACAGTTGTTTAACTGGGAAAGAGAAGGTGAAGCCCAACTCCCTTTGTCTACCGGGTGGAAGATGAAAATCGTCGCCTTCTGTAGCAACAAATTTTACAAGCGCCGTGGCAATAAAATCAAATAACGCCTGCAGTTAGCAGTTCGAAGTTTAATCATATGGTAATAACCCTGAGTGGATGAAACAAGATTGCCGGTTGCAAAGATGATACAGCTTATACTTACGTCAGATGACGATCCAGCCATCACATTCTTTGGAATTGAAACTTCTTTAACTTCTTGTTTAACTATACGCTTTTCTTTCCCGCCCAACTGCACACGCATCACACGGAAGTTTGTGCCGCCTAGATCTAATGCATAAAACAGACCGGTTTCGTCCCTAAGATGAAGGAATAAAAGTAATACCATATGTTAAACTGAAGCAAAAATTAACAGGGCGAGATTTCTAAATATTTACAACACCTGCAAGATCACGGCTTTATTGAAAATGAAACAATTTTTATGACACTCAAATAAGTAAAAATCAGTTTATCCACATATATACACCTCAGAAGCTAAAATTAATAGACAACCGGATATAACTCCAACCCATAAGCTAAAATCAATAGAGTATGATTTCTAAAAATTGAAAAAGACACCATATTTCCACACTCAAATACGAAAAATTGAGCTTAAGAACGTATATACACACACACAAACACTCACCCAGTGGCCAGTGGTGGGGAGGTTATCAACATAGCTAATAAGTATCTTTGAGCTTGCTGCCACCTTCAGAGTTTAGACTAACAATTTTATCTCCAGAATCAATGAAATCATTTGTGACGACATAAACAATCTGATACATCCAATGGGCCCTACATGGCGCGAATCTGGAATAGTCAGGCCCATGAGGACCCGATACCAGATGGTTATACCAAAAAATGTCCACCCCAGAAGCTAAAATCAATAGTAGAATAAGATTCCTAAACATTTACAACACCTCCAACATCAAAGCTTCATTGAAAAAGAGACAATTTTTCCACAGCCAAATAATCAAAAATCAGCTTAAGCACATATATACACAGCAATTATATATATGACACCCAAATAAGCAAAAAGTCATTTTATACAAACCAGAGAAGCTAAAATCAACAGACAATCTGATACAACTCAATCCCAGAAGCTAAAATCAATAGAGTAAGATCTCAAAATATTTAAAACACCTCCAAGATCACATCTCTATTAAAAAAAGACACAATTATATGACACCCAAATAAGCAAAAAATCAGTTTAAGCACACATATATATATTTAGAACCACCTCCAAGATCACAGCTTTATTGAAAAAAGACACACTTTTTCTACAACCAAATAAGCAAAAATCAGTTTAAGCACAATATAGTATATTTAGAACACCTCCAAGATCACAACTTCATTGAAAAAAAGACACAATTTTTCCATACCCAAATAAGCAAAAATCAGTTTAAGCACACATATATTTAGAACACCTCCAAGATCACAACTTTATTGAAAAAAGACAATTTCTTGATACCCAAATAAGCAAACAATCAGTTTATGCGCACACACACACACACAGAGAAAGTACTCACCCAGTGGGGAGGTTATCAACATAGCTAATGAGCATCTTGAGTTTGCTACCACCTTCAGAAGCAAGTCCAGCATGCATCTCTACAGTCATAGCATCAGCCACTTGCCTAAGTTTTCCTATTGGAGTTTCACACTTCTCCTCAAACTCTTTCAATATATCCATAGCTTTAGCCCATTTACCTGAATTTTTCATTTTGTGCCTCATTAATAAAACAGCAGCAGCACATACTGCAGCTGTACATACTACTGCTGCACCCACCACCACTTTTCCCATATTACTCACTTGTAACACAACAACACACAATTGTTCTTTCTTTTTGTGTATTCAACTGAATTTTCTACTGTAAAGGTTGTAGCTTTTTGGTTTATTTTTAATATTGGTTTGTTAAAGAATATTCATTTTTGATAGTTTCTTGGTATATTTGTGTGTGTGTGTGTGCGAAAAAGAGGAAAATGGGAGAGATAGTTGCAGAAGTTTTTTAAGGTGACATGGAAAAAGACAAGAGTGGGTCCTACGATATTGATTCTTCTTTACTTTTTATTATAAAATTAATTGATTAAAATTGTAGGTAAGGAAATTGCTATTTTGATGCTTATCAAAACTCTGTTAAAGAATCTTTATGTGTCTCTATATTTTTGGGATGTGCAACAAATATTTATACTATTACTGACCTTTAATTTAAAACACCCCCCAAAAAAAAAAAATTAATTTTAGTATGATTTATTACGAAAATAATACGTACATTAACTTTAGTATTATTAATTTCTTGTGTCGATAGTATGTTTAACATATTTAATATATTTTTATTCATAACAAATCATGACATTAGCAATATCATAGTTTTTAATACATGAATAAGCATGTATAAAACGAAACTGACCTTTCAAAAATTTTAATATGCTAAATCAAACCGTCAATAAGTAATAATCTCAGCATAACTAATCAAAGCATAACCAATTCCAACATTACTAATCTCAATATTTTTTGGTAAATAAAATTTTTATTTCATCAAAGGAATTATGTACAGGTATCTAAGCAACAAAAAAGCTCTAGAGTTAGACATGAAGCCTTACTAATCTCAACATTACTAATATACTTTATTCAATACTTTTTTTATATACCTTACCGAACGATCCCTTAGTAGAGTCAGAAACCTAAATAATGGTATTTTGAACTCAAAATACCTTTATACAGTTAAAAAAAATTATCGTTCTAACTAAAACGCATTATTATATTGTGTTTTAGTTTAACGGAAATTTAGTCGTTAAAGAAAAATGTAGTATAATACTGCGTTTTAGGAAAGCGTAGTATTATGCTGCATTTTCCTATTAAATTATAAACCCACTTTCTTTCCCACGACAGAAACTTTCTGGTTTCAATTAAAAAAAACCCACCCCTTTCCAGCGCCCCCCTCCCCCCGATTTAAAAAAAAATTCGATCGGGCCCCACCCGTCACACAAAAAGTGAAGAGTGTAGGTCACGCACATAACCCAAGCCTTCGATTGTTGGGGTTTCCTTGTTTCGGGCTAAAAATTTCAAATTTCCGCCATTTCTAAAAACATAAATCGAGGTATTCCGATTTAGTTTATGTTGAAACTCATATAATTATGCATATTTTTTTTCGTGGATGTGTTTCCACGTTGATTTATGCTTTGTTTGCGATTAAATTTGTATGTTATTTTTACCCGGATTAAATTATTAGTATTTAAAAAAATAGTTAAAATTTGAGAAATAACTTTTATTGTTAATAAAAATGTTCATAAATTTCTTTTACTATTTTATATGTAATTGCGTGAATGTTATGTTCATATGTTTGTTGTTTTTATTTAGTTTAGATTATTTATTTGCTTAAAGAATAGTGGCCTTTTAGCGTAGTAAAATATAGAACCTTTTAGCGTAGTAAAATATAAAGCATTTTAGCGTAGAGTCTCTGTAGTTTAAGTATCTACTAACTACAAACTTTATACAATTAAACTTTACAAAAAATAATTATTTAATTTATAAAACAAACACACAGAACTAACAAATTAATATATGTTGTCAAATTAAATATCGAGCGTGGAACTCATAGATATATACCCTGTCCAATTAAAAATTAATTATTTAATTTATAAAACTAACAAAATTTTAAAAATATTGAAATTGACACACATAAGAATTCAGAATAGCTTGGTGCTACTGGGCCTCAAATATCGAGACTGGAACCCATAAATATATAATGTGTCCAGTTAAATAATTAAATATTAATTATTATAACACTAACAAAATTATAAAAATATTGAAATTGACACACATAAGAATTCATGATAGTTTGGTGCTACCGGGCCTCAAATATCGAGCCTGGAACCTGTAGATATATAACGTGTCCAGTTAAATAATTAAATATTAATTATTATAACACTCACAAAATTTTAAAAATATTGAAATTGACACACATAAGAATTCAGGATAGCTTGGTGCTGCTGGGCCTCAAATATCGAGCCTGGAACCCATAGATATATATTGTGTCCAGTTAAATAATTAAATATTAATTATTATAACACTGACAAAATTGTAAAAATATTGAAATTGATACACATAAGAATTCATGATAGTTTTGTGCTACTAGATCTCAAATAGCGAGCCTGGAACCCATAGATATATAATGTGTCCAATTAAATAATTAAATATTAATTATTGTAGCACAAACACACAATTAATATTGTTTAATTTATAGTAGACGATATGGACGTGCCGCATGTGCATCATGGACCAGCCTCGGATCAGATATTAGTGTTACAGGGCGATCATAAGTTTGCCTACGTATGGGAGGGACAACTAGTGGATCAGACTCTCCGCACCAGGAGATCGGACGACTTGTGGGACTCTTTGAGGGACGGAGTTTTCCATCCTCGCGTAGTCCATCGCCTGCGTGATACGGGCTTCTATAGGATTTTTGAGATTGGGCAGCTGCAACTCGACTGGTCTCTGATCACGGCGTTGATAGAGCGGTGGCGACCGGAGACGCACACTTTTCACCTGCCCATTAGCGAGGCCACCATCACGCTTCAGGATGTTCAGGTTTTATATGAGCTACGTGCTGATGGACTGGCCGTTGCACTGCCAAGACCGGTTAAAACCGGAACCGGCCCGGACCGGTAGAAAGGGGCTGGGTTAAGGGCGACTGGCGGGTTGCACCGTTTACATTTGAAATACTGGTTACTCGGACCAGTATAACCCGGTCGATGAACAGTGTTGTTAAACAGATTAACCGGCCCAAATCGATTTAATGGTAAAAAAAATTAATTTGTTTTTAAAACTGGGCCCAGATCTGACCGTTGGCAACGGTTCATTTCAGAAAATGGCCGTTGCCCAATGGCTGAATTAAAAAATAGCCAATTTTGTTTTTTTTAAATTAACCCCCTCTTTGAAAAACTATAAATACCCCCCTCCTCTTCCTCATTTCTTCACTCATCTCTCAATTCTCAATCTCAATTTTCATATCCTCTCATTCTTCAATCTTCATTCTTCACCTATTAAAGTGCAATCAACTATTTGGCTCTTTTTTTTTGAATTTAATTTATCGTAGTATTTATTATTTGAAGTTTGAACAATTGAACTTCAAAATTGAAACAATTGACGTTTCTTCGTGGTAACATTGAAGTTGTGAAATCATCAAGTGCTCAATTTATTACCGAATTCGGTGCACTCCTCAAACTCTTTCTCTTATTTACTATTTTATTTGCATATTTATTTGTTGCTACTAGTTAAATTTTTACAATATATTTAACGCTGCAAAAAGAGTTTGTAACAAGGTTACTAATCGGGGAAATAAAAAAAGAGCTAGTACTTCAGCTTCAGCATCTGGTAACCCATCCGAATTTAACACTCGAGAAGAAGGTCACTCAGTTCATATTGATTATGAAGAACTTACTAAGGTAATGCAAAACCTTTGAATTTACTCTTTTTTTGGTTAATTTACTTGTTGTTAAATGTAAATCTTTCAATTTGTAAGTTTGAATTTTGAAATAAATGTAGCACTTGCAATTTATAAGTGCAAAATTTTCCCATCTTCATTGTATTCTTTATATTAATATAAAGTATTAATATAACTTACAATAGTTATACAAAATACAAAATTTTTTTTAAAAAAACACTAAACCCGGCCCAACCCGACCCCCTCTACCCGTAACCCTTACTGTTCAATTTTTACCCGGATAAACCCGAACCATAACACGTACGGGTACTAAAATTCCCTATCCAGCCCAGCCCGGCCCGACCCACCCGTTAAACACCCACAGTATATGAGATCTATGACGCGTGCCCAGTATTTGGATTTGCTGCAGCAGCTTACTGGTTTCAGGCCACAGGGTGAGGCTGCAGCTAGAGGGGGCAGTTGCATTTCTGTGACAACTATCAAACAACATTTGGAGGTATTGCACCCCGACATCACCGGCGAGACAGATGATCTCCATATTCACCGGTACACAAGGTTGGCGTTGCTCCTTCCTTTTGGGGGTGTCTTATTCCCGAACACTTCGGGAAATCTAGTGAGTATGCGATTTCTACATCATCTTCAGCAGCTAGATGAGTTACCCCAGTACAGCTGGGGTGCTGTTGTTCTCGCTTACCTGTACAAGAGTATGTGCCGGGCTAGCATGGGCACCCAAAGCGACATATGTGGTTTTCTACCGCTTCTATAGGTGACAACATATTCGAATACTCTGTTCATTACTTCCAATTCTATATAGTCAAAAATGACTCTTAAATTTTACGTCAACCTTGTATGTTAGGTTTGGGACTGGGAGCGGTTCCTGTCGTTGAAGCCACCTCTACTACCATTACCTCCGGATGTAGCACCTCCGTTTCTCCCTCTATCTAGGATGTGGGTTCTCCAGTGTGGGAACTATCGAGACATTGATGCTCATCATAATCTCCCTCTTGTCAGGGATGTGTTGGATATGCTGGAGGCCGCACAGGTAAATATGTACCTAAACTTGTTATAAATTCACTTGTATTGTGCATACTCACTTTTATGTTATTATTTGATAATTCATCTGGACGCCATACAGTGATGAGTTGATAGCTGGCCTGCTCGATTATTGCTCGGTCGACTAACAGCTTCGGAGCACTTCCGTCCCGCTGATGTGCCTTGATGTTGTGGAGCATCATGCCACAGAGCGGGTACTTTGCCAGTTTGACCGTTCGCAGACTATACCGAGGGAGCATGCATATGTGACTACACATTATCAGTGGGATGATCGTTCGAGGGTGGACGATGCATTTGTAGCATAGCTAGAGGTGGAAGTCCATATGTGGATGATAATATATTTACCCACTTTCCACAACCCTGATTTCTTCTTGCTGGCACGCAATATCCAGTAACAACCCATAAAGTCTCTACGAAATACATCCTTGTATACCTCCGTAGTTGACTCCCTTACTGTCATCTCACGACACTCTCTTACGTTG